TGAACCCTGCTCCTGTTGCCTAAGGGGTTTGCATCCTGTGGCTGCAACTCTTCTGACCATTACGGCTTCTTTCCCCTCCCTTTATAATGGCTGTCATTCAGCACAGCCCTTGTTGTCTTGGAGCCCGAGGAGCAGATGTGTTCAGAGCTGGAATCTGGTCCTACTTCTACAACGTGTTGTGTTGGAGCTGAGGTGCCATACAGGGGCCAAGCTGCCCTTCTCCAGTTGTGGTCTGAAGGGGAATAAACACATCTCAGTGACTCCTCCACGTGATGTGAGTTCAGACAAGGCAACTCACCAGTTCCTCCTGTCCCTGAGGCTCTGTTGTCTCTGGCTGCCACTATGATGGATGGTGCCTCTGTGGGAAATTATGGAAACCATGAGAAAGCTCCTCACAACTGACAGGCACATGCAATAAAACTTTGCTTTCCTGGATGTGATGGTGTCAGAGGTTCAAACCACATCCATGGGCCACAATATGTGGCTTTGCTCGCTTCTGTCCAGCTTTTATAAAGCCAAGGCACTGTCTAAGATAATCCTGAGGATCTTAATTTTGTGCTTTGCCCAGCACCTGTGTGGGTACAACAAAAGAAGGGAGTGCTGGAGCTAAAGGCCTGAGGACTGGGTTTGATGTGTTTGGTTCTCATTCTGGGGTTGAAGGCTTCATTTCTGTCTCTGGTCATCTCAGCCTGTGCTGACCAACTAGCAGCAGGCAGTAGTAATGTCAGTGTACCTTGTCTCTTACTGTGATGGGTCGCCAGCAAGATGTCCTGCAAATGCCAAGGATTTAGGTCCTCTCCAAAAATAACAGTAATGTGGGGGTCTAGACCTGCACAGAACTGAGTGTGCTCAGCTCTATCAAATGTTGGATGTCCTCGGCCACAAATGAAGCGTAGGTTCAGGAGCTGTGTGGTCTCCAAAGGGACTGACACCAGCCCAGTGGATGCCTTGGCATTGCTTCTTGCTTATTCCACTTACACAGTGTGCTGTGTTTGTTGAAACACGAACCAGGAGCCTGTATTTCCCAACCAGGTCAACTGACCTGGCACCTCCACCTCCTGCAATTTCCTCCTGTTTCATGGCCCAGCCCTTCTCAATGCCTCTCTTGTGCAAGGAGGGAAAAATAAGGCTTGTGTCATTCCCAGGAGACTGATAAATACTGACTGTAGTAGTCCTGGAGGAGAAGTTGGTCTCAAGGTGCAGGGCCCTGTACACAAGCAATCTGATAGACCTGACCTGAAGCCAAAGGGCTTCAGTGCAGTGTGCCTGACCTGAGCAGGTCTTGGGAAGCAGCTTTTCCTCTAGACAGGTTCCAGGTCATTAAGGACTTCATGGGTTGAAACCAGCCTCTTAAATCAAGCTGGAAAGCAATCAGTGGCCAGCACAAGATGTAGAACTCAGGTTTAATATGGCCATAAAAAGAGACACCACTTAATGAGCAGACTGTTGAAATCCACATCTGCCCACGATAGATTTAAGAGTTGCTCTGTGAGCGTTATTGACTGGCTCTGTTCTGTGACAGCATTATGGGTTTGCAAAGTTGGCCAAAAAGGCAAAGGATTAGTCAGAGCTTTATTCTGATTCCTGGGTTTTGGCACATGCTGGTTCCTGACTTCCAGAGCTCTTGTGTCTGGTAGACCAGGGTGATTCTTTTATCTGCATGTGTAACTCCATTTGCATGGCCTTGAAATCACAGCCTTAGGGGTTGCCATCACCCGTGGGCTTGGCTGGAGGTTTCCACAAGCCTATAGCCCCTTCCTCCACAGTCCAACTTGTCCATCGCCACCTCTCCCAGTGACCCATGTAGATCTGGTGTGGGCACCATCTCCCACTTTGGGTTTTATGGAGAAGAGACTTTATGGGCAGCCCCCAAACACACCTCACCTGTGGTGTGGAGGTGAAGACATGGGGTGCCCCTTGCTAGTAAACACATTGCATAAAATTAATGCCAGGAGCTGATGAAGTAAAACACTGGGTACAGTGTGAGCTAAATAGTAGTTGCATAAAGAGCTACTGACCAGCTTTCATAGGCATATGATGATGATTTTTGATTCAGTCAATCCTCTCATTCCTGGTTTTCCTATTATTTGGCCTGAGAACTCTTAATTGGGGCAACCATTGCCTTTAGCACAAATTACCAGTGGCTTCTCTTTAATTGCAAGAGCCCATGGTGATCTTTGCTTTAGAAGCATAACAGTGGTCAGGGAGGAGATGGCTGTCGGGGAACAAACAGCCCCTGTGTGCAATGTTGTGGGTCTGAAGGAAAGGCTGTTTGAGGCTTGCAGATCACACACTGCCTGGTTATTTCTCTGTGCTTTGAAAACTTAATCAAGTTTTATAGCTTTAATTTTGTGGCTGGCTCCCCCTTGCCTTTTTCTTTTTAAGTGTCTTGCAACCCAGAGCAAATGAGTCCCATTGGGTTATAAAGGGAAAGAATTGGCAAATGGTCTAAAATATTTAGGCTTGCCTAGTGAATGATAGGAAAAAATTACTTTTCCTACTTCGTGCCACTTCCATCGTTACTACAAGGTCTCTAGTGTTTTCCCCACATGGTTGATTAGAAATAGCCAGGGAATAAGGTGGAATTGCTGAAGGCTTTAGGCTTCAAGCGTGTTCTATGAAGGTATGTCCTGCCTGTGAGCTGAGGTTGTGTTCTCCATGTATCCTATATCCTGTATCCATCTCCTGGAGCCTGTGTGGCAGTGGAGGGGAGAAGTTGTCCTCACTGGGTGATGAATTGGGATGTGCTGAAGATGCCACCAGCAGCTCTTGATGCTTCTTCTAGTGCGTATGAGGGAACCAGTCTGCGCAGAAATAGGGAATAGTAAAGCACTGGGTGAAACGGGGTGCAAGAGGACCCCTGCGGTTGGGTGAGGTCCTGCTGTTGACAAGTCAGGGACAAATTGCACCCTCTTGCCTGAACTGGTGGAAGTTTTGTGTTTGGGTTGCTGACAGAAAGCAAAGTGAATGTGCTTCACTGAGCTCCTGCTTTTCTGCTACACCATTCTTCTCATTCCCATGGGGAAAACAAGCTGTGATTGGGGCTGGGGGCTCTCTGGTGTTGACCTGAGCCAGGAAAGCCATCTGGTGCAGCTCAGGACTCATTCTGACCAGTCTAATACTGGTGAAGTACATGTAGCCATGGTCCAGGTGCAGAGTGTAGCCCAGCTAATCCACTCATGGATGACTGGGAGATTACTCAGCTGGATTTCTAATGCAGTGGCCTTTAATAATAATCCCCTCCTAATCCCTAAATCAATGGAAAATGGATTTATCTGTATGAGCTAAATGGCCTGTGAAGGCATTTGAGCAAGAAGAAGTCTTGTGTATCTATGTATGAACAGATAGAGAGATATATGCATACTTCTGTTGCTGTTACGTGCTGTTCTGACCCATGTCTGTGTGTTTTGCTGGCAGGGACCTCATGCCCAGGACCCTGGAGGGGCAGATCACCATGGAGAAGACCCCCAGCTACTTCGTCACCAAGGAGGCCCCGGCGCGCATCTCCTCCATGTCCAAGGGCACGAAGCTCATCGTGGTGGTGCGGGACCCCGTGACCAGAGCCATCTCGGACTACACCCAGACGCTCTCCAAGAAGCCCGACATCCCCACCTTTGAGAGCCTGACCTTCAAAAACAGGACTACGGGCCTGATCGACACCTCGTGGAGCGCCATCCAGATTGGCATCTACGCCAAGCACCTGGAGAACTGGCTCCTCTACTTCCCCATCGGGCAGATCCTCTTTGTGAGCGGGGAGAGGCTCATCAGCGACCCCGCGGGGGAGCTGGGACGGGTCCAGGACTTTCTGGGCCTCAAGAGGATCATCACCGACAAACACTTCTACTTCAACAAAACCAAGGGCTTCCCGTGCCTGAAGAAGGCAGAAGGCAGCAGCAAACCCCACTGCCTGGGCAAGACAAAAGGCAGGACCCACCCCGACATAGACCAGGAGGTGGTGCAGAGACTGCGGGACTTCTACCGGCCCTTCAACATGAAGTTCTACCAGATGACGGGGCAGGACTTCGGCTGGGATTGAGCCTGGCGTGGGAAAAATCCCCTGTAATGACTTGCCCGGCACGGTTTGCGTATATAAAGAGCTATATATGTATGTAAAATGTACAGAAATCTATTTTATAATAATTTATTTTTAATTCCTAAGCAATTAATTCACTAAGCTGCCTAACCGCACTGGCTAGAACAGTAGCCCGTAACCTGTTTAACATTCCACGGTGTTTAATTCTAATTTGTCTCTCCTTATTTTCTCTTCCCCCTCTTCCGTTTTCTCCTCTTTCTTGGTTTGGTTTGTAACAGACGGTGCTTCCATTTTTCCTAAAGAAAATTTGTATTTAAGAATACCAACAAAAGTGAGGGTGGGACAAGGGAGGGACAGGGAGGGAAAGCACAAGGTTATTTTTGTTACGGGTACCTGGCCTTTATAAACACATGCTTTCCCTATTCCAGTGTCCCGGTCTCTGCTCCGGCGTTGTGATCCCTCATCCCACAGCTTCCCAGTTAGTCCCACAGCCCCGGGTGGGGGGGGTTCTCTGGGGCTGGGCATCTCCATGCAACCCACATACCTCTGCTGAGCACCAGCAGCGTGTTTTACCAGTGGCTGTGCAGCACAGGGAATCCCAAGCCATACAGCTCCTGCTCCACAGCCCAGGGCTCTGCTGGGAGGGTAAGGAGCTCTTGAGAAGCCACAGAGCCTGTTGCATGGGCACAGCTGTCTCCTCAGTACACTTTTCCTCCTTGCCTTTTGTCAAGGAGGCTCTTTCCCACGATCCCTCTATGCATTTTAAATCGTTACTGCAGGACAAGTGGAAGAATACGTGTATGTGTATGGGACGCACTCGGTGCTGGCCTCAGTGACCTGCAAGAAGTATTGCTCCAGGCATGCCCGTGCCCATGGGGCACTGCTGGGAGATGGCTTCCACCCACCAAAGACACCATCAGCACCACGGAGCCATGGGAAACACCCAGGTCTCTGCTTGGCACCGTCCCCAACATGGAGGGTGTCCCAGGGCACGGTGCAGGCAGTGCTGCCTCCAGCACTGCAGCCACCGGAGCAGCTCCTGCTTATTGAGACTGCAGCACATCAGTCTGGGCCTTCCTGATTCCCGGTTCAACACCCTATCCATGCTCTCTCCCAAGGAGCTGCGCTTGCCTAGAGGCAGGAAGAAGTGCTGCTTTGCCAAAAAGGATGGATCTGGAAAAGCGGGGGGGGTCTGGGCTGTACTTGGGATGTTGCTGGTACCCGATGCCCTGGGTGAGGGCAGGGGTGTCAGGACAGGAGGCTCTGAGCACTTGCTCATGAACCCAGGTACAATACCCTGGAAATCCTTCCCCTCAAGTGGACCCAAATGGTTTGGGACTTTAGGACAGGTTGGTGGGGCTGTCCTGAGATCATAAGCCATGTTTTGTGTGCTCAGGTTTCAATAAGCACCATGTGTGTCCACTGCCTTATCCTGCTGTCACAGGTTCTACAAGCTTGACTGGAGCATTTTCAGAGCAAGGTGGCAGCAGAAGTGATTTTCTCCTTGGATTTTGAGCAGAAGCATGGGGCTGTGTTGACTTTGGGCAACAAAACCCCATACACTTCACCTGCAGCACTGCAGTGATGTACTGCACCCAGTGTGGAGCTCGCTGGGTATGTCTCATGGTGTTACTGTGGGAGTACTGCATAAAGCAGGCAGTGAGAATAAAACTAAGCAGCAAATGTACCAATGAGCACAGCATCTGAGAGCTGAGTTGGTGCCCTGGTTTCATACACATTGCCTGTATAAATGGTGCCCTGCAGCTCTCCCCAGTCCCCCACAGCAAACCACCTTTGAGCCATGCCCAGCTGTGGTGGGGTGCATTCAGTGTCATCTTCCAGATGTTTTCTTTACTTTCACTGCCTCCTTGCTGTTGTCTGCCTCTTACAGCTCTCTGCTGTGGCTGCTGGATGATGAAAAGGCTCTTCGGAGCCTGGGCTGCTCTCCCTGGGCCTTGATCTGGTCCTGCACAGACAGATACAGCAAAGAGCAGACCTACCTCTGGGTTCACTCCAGGGATCTGCAGGTAAAGTGCTGCCTTTCAGTGCTTTGTTTAAACCTAAGGGCTCAGTGGTGTCACATCTCCAAAGGGATTTAGGGAGTTGGACCCCTGTCAGTGCCGGTGAGGTGTGTGGGTTCACACGTGGGGTGCCATGCACTGGGGTGTCCTCAGGGACAGAGAGATGCCAAGCAAAGGTAATATCAGGACTGAGCTGCCAGGCAAATCCCCTGTGAGCAGGATGCAGATGCCTTCTTGGGGTTTGCCTCCAAGCACTTCCTCCTGCAAACAAGCAAAGTTGGGCAAATCCTCTCCTTTTTGCTCTCAGTCATTTCTAGTAACGAAGATGCTTTGGACCTGCTTCCAGACACCATGGGTGTCAGTGTGGGACCCATGGGGCTGCAGGATGACAGCCCACACACGCAACCCCATCCTGCATAACGCAGCTGCAAACCTCAAGTGGTGGTTGGATCTATCTATGCATGTATGGGGGCTTGGGTTTTAGCTCCAGCCAGGTCCCCAGCTCTGTCCCCTGCTGCCAGCACAGAAGCATGTCTGCGTTATCACAAACCCTGTTCCTCTTGGGTGATGGAGGGGAAGGGGCTGCACAGGGATAAAGAACACTTCCAGGTGGAAAACGGTGATTTTTACTTCTCATAACCTCAGTCTTCCTACAAGCTGGCTTATGCAATGTGTGGAAAGAAGCTCTTCCTCTCCCCTTCGGGTAAGCTCCCAGCCACAGCTCCACCACTTCCCCAAGCTGTTTCACTGGCTGAGCCCTTCTGCATGGTGGGAGCCTCCAGGATCTCCTTTGCTGGCATGGCTTCCTTCCCATGGGGCTCCCAATGGAGTGCGTGTGCGTGCCTGCCTCTGGATGCTGGAGCATCTCGCATCCCCTCCGTCTTCCTTCTTGCTTTCTTGGAAACAACCTTAACATCCCAATGCCTTCCTCAGCTGAACAGCAGCGCGTGGGTTTCATTTGTATAATCAAGCCCTGCTGCAAAACGCTCCCATGAAGCAATCTTGTTGGAGAGTAGGAATACAGGGAGTGCATAATAACTCTCCTAACCTTAAGCAAGTTGTTAGCCCTTGCTCAATATCCTTTGTAATGAAGTCTGCACTAGACTTGTAATGTAAAAGCCTTACCTAACAAGACAATGAAGGTGAATTCCCCGTGGTGTACATCTGGTTGCTAATACTGGAATCAGTGCTATTGTAAAAATACCTTTTTACTTTAAGTTAAGCTTGGAGGTGTGATTAGAAGTTCTGTTTATTTTTGGTTTTCCACATTGTAACATTAATTTATGGCTGAGTTTCATTCAGTCCTGTATTCAGACGTGCAGTACAGGTATTAGTGATGTGTTGTCTGTAACATGGAACTATAGAGTAGCCCATTTGTAAGAAAAAGAACAAAATGGAAAGAAAAAACAAAAAAACCATCAGAAAAAAAGCTGAAAAAAATGTAAATTGAGTATTTTGTGGTATGTACAACACAAATTAATTTTACACAGAGAAAGATGTTTCTAGGGAAATGAAATTCTGATAATTCATACTATTTGTATGAATAAATAAAAGCTCTATTTTACGACATGGTTGTATTCATTCAAGGCTGCAGAGGTGGATGTGGCCTCCCCACAGGGGTTTGGTGGTGCCACCCCCCAACTCATCCATGTCCACTCCATTAATGTCTGTGTGATGATGCTGCCCCCATGGCAAAGCCTAGAAGCACTGACGCCAACAGGATTCAATCACGTACATGAGCATGGGGCTGGGAGCTGGAGGCTTTGCTGGGTGGTGAACACGTGTGTGTTCTGCTCAGTTGGGTTCTGGGGGCCTGACCTGTCCCCTCAAACACACCTTCATCAGACACCACTACAGGGAGGGAGACCTGAGCAGTTGCCCTCAGCCCTGCTGCAAAATCTGGATGGTCTTGGTGGCTGGTGAGACCATCCTCTGGTATCAGGGATGCTTGAGGACACATTTAGTGCTTTACGTAGCAGAGAATCTTTTCAGTGCTAAGGTTCTTTTCAAGAGCATTGCACTTGGTAGTGATGCTTCAGAGGGCTGGAGCTCATTCAGCCTGGGAGAAGAGAAGGCTCCAGGGAGACTTTAGAGCAGCTCCCAGTGCCTAAAGGGGCTACAAGAAACCTGGAGAGGGCCTTCGGACAAGGGCCTGTAGGGGCAGGACAAGAGTTGATGGCTTTAACTTAACAGAGAGAAGACTGAGATGAGCTCTGAGGCAGAAGCTCTTCCCTGTGAGGGTGCTGAGGCGCTAGCACAGGGTGCCCAGAGAAGCTGTGGCTGCCCCATCCCTGGCAGTGTTCAAGGCCAGGTTGGACACAGGGGCTTGGAGCAACCTGCTCTAGTGGAAGGTGTCCCTGCCCGTGGCAGGGGCTTGGAACTGGATGAGCTTTAAGGTCCCTTCTAACCCAAACCCATCTGTGATTCTATGGGTCTATGCTGGTCCAAACCTCTGGGGCCAGTAGTTACTATTGCTCCCTACACACTCAGCACTTTAAGATAGAAAATGCATTCTCATTCAATTCAGAGGAGTCCCAAGCCAGTGCTACCCAAAGCAACACCTAAAGAGTATCACAGATTTATGTAATGTAGCAATTGCCACTTAACTAAACTGAATTAAAACCATTTCATTTTTCTTAGCAAGTCCTGCATCCGGTGCAGAGTAATTGATGGGACTCTTTCAGATTGCCCATTTCTTAGAGGCCTTCTAGAAAAGGAATCAGAATTAAGCACAAGATTTAATATAGCGATTTAAGAAGAGTTCAACCTAGAAACCTCTGGCTCGTCAAGATTATAATTAGCTGCTCCCTCATTCTGGCAATGCTTAAACTCTGTAGGTGTCTCAGTTTTAATATATATACACACAGATTTTACTTGAAGATTGCTATGTATGTTTTGAGCAGCACAGCTGGATGTGCTGTGAGCTGACCTCAGCTTGATGGAGTTGAGCAACTTGTTACCTCCTTCTCACCTCACCTGGGTTGCATTCCAAATCAGTGGCTCCTCTGCTCAGCCTCCAGCAGATGCCAATCCTACAGGCACCCTTATTCTGAGCTCAACCTGGTCTTGCAGCAGCTTCTACAGAAGTTCACCATTGGTTTATATATATAAGAGCTACTCCATTCTGGGGTGGAATGAGTGTTTTTCTTCTTGAGGGACTGGTGCTGCAGAAGAACAGGAAGGTAAGTCCTTCTGGGGTTCAGCACCTGCCCTACGCTCCCTCTAGGCTATTCCCAGTTGGTGGACACTGGGGATTCCTTCTCCAATTTGGCTTTGGTCCCATTCTCAGGTGCTGTTTTAGCAAGAGCACCTAGAAGAGAAGAATAAGGGTCCTGTGTGGTTTATGGATCATGTCCTGAATGTAAAGAAGTGTTTGTTCTGAAGAAGATGGCCTGAAGGGT